TACTCTTCGTCTACGTTTTTTTTTTTTTTGAAATAAGGGGACAAGTAATGGGTAGCATAACGCCAGAAAGAGTTACGTTGCAGAATGGGGCATAGCAGATAATCACAAGGAGATGGAAATAAGTGTGTTGAAAAGATATGAGGATTGGCAGTGAGTGGAAGTGGTACCTGGGCAGCTGGTATATGGTCACTGTTTCAACTTTCCTTTAAGGAATAAAATATCATTTTTGATGGAAGCAAGGATCCCTGTAGTCTGTAGATTGAAGTTAAAGCCTCTGATGATCTGGCTGCCTGTTGTTGAATTCAGTCCAACCATGATCATCATCATCATCATCATACCCCAATTTCTGAGTAGAGAGTGACCCATTTTGGTTCAATAAACACACAAGCCTTAGTTTAAGTGGCAAATAAGCTCTCTTTGTGGGGGAGAATTTCGGGATAACTCGAGTTCGACTCTTACAAGTGACAATTTCCTTTGGGCCAGCTCCTGTGTCTTCCGGAGCGAACGGGGACTAATCGGGTGGACTTGGACCGTTAAACGGACAGAGAAATACCCGAATCACCTTGTGGTTTGCACCTGGTTTTAATGTCTCAGATAGTTAACCTACACGATCGACTGACTGGACCAACGAGAGTGCGCCACATCAAACCACTTGAGTTTGGGGCATTTAATGCCTAGCCGACTTACTTAGTATAAATAGGATTCCTCAGCTTTCATATTCACAACATTGTAAACATTACACCACTTGTAATCAACTTCTACTCTCAAATCTCAATACAAAATCTTAGTACTTCCCGTCTTCGACTCGATAGACGACTAAGTGTCATTTTACATGTCCATTATCTATACCTTTATATCCGTACGTAGGGTAGTCGCAACCCTTGGTCCAATTTACGCTATCAATATATTAGTATTAATAGTACATGATACTATTATGTACAATACATTAATTTATGAGAATGCCTGCAACCACAATCCAAATGTGCACTCTGGGTGAAACTCGTATTGTAACGGTAGCCAGTAAAGGACCACAAGGAATAAACCTACCTAGAGTCTCCATAGCTGACTCACTCAAACTAAAAAGGCTAATAGACAACTTTCAAGATGAGTTGAATTTGAAAATTTATGATTACCAAACAAACTGTCTGATTAATAATAATACTAATTAATATTATTATTGATAAGTTTTTAACAACATATCTAATATACACGAATCATGATTATATGGGATATTATTGAAAATTATTATCCCTAATAAATTTTGTACATGGTTATAATGTGTACTATTGACACCATAAAAAATATTGAAAGAAATGAGATAATTACAATCAAATATGATAGTGATGTATAAAATCGTGAACCAAATACGTTTTCTCGTTAACCATTATTAAATTTTAATAATTTTAAACATATCCTAATTATATTACAAAGTAAATAGTATATTCAACTTTTGATCATTTGAATATATTATACTAATATTGTTACTTTTCATATATCTTTAACTTTATGTGACCATTTAGTACTTTCCCACAAATTAAATTGATAAAAAAAATAATTTAGTTTTAAAAAAAGAAATTATTCTCCAACTATTAAAAAAAAAAGGTGTTACTTTTATGTAAGAAAATACGTTTTGTAAATTATTGACAAAGCAAGGACATTTTGGTTTGAAAAAGAAACTTCTTTTAAATTCAAATGACTTCCAGTGAAAAACAAATCAAAATTTATGATTAAAAGTAAAAATACTATTATTGTCGAGTGATAAAATGTAGAATAAAATTAATAGTGGATCTTATATTTTTATGTGAGAATGTATCACGTGAAAAATATAATACTTTTTAGTTAAAATGTAAAACTAAGAACTTCCATATTTTTTTATAATTCAATTTGAAAGTATTACATTATAATAAAAAGTATAACACATTCTATGTGCGATAATCTTATACAAGACTTATTCTAGATTTTATTATTTCCTCGGTCTAATTTTATGCCTAATTCAATTAATGAATTTGACTAAAATTACATAATATTAAGTTTGGCATTAGTATACACAATTTATACAACGTAAGTTTCAAACAACCAAGCCACTCAAGAACTTGTCTATTGAAGAACAGAAAACTCCACTTACGCATGGGAGTGCGCTCGAAGCAAAGTAGTGGGGGACATGGCCAAGAATGAAGGTTGTTGATGTTGTCCATTTGTCAACTATAGTCTTTCAACCAAAAATATAGTGCCTTTCCTCCCCTTAAAAATAATATTTCGGCTCAAATCACCAAACCCCTTCTGGTCTGTTGCGTTGGCCTAAGTCTCCCCTTTAGCTGATTTTGAGCCTAGCGCCCCCGGTAATAATACTATTATTTTTTTACTTCATTTTGTACCTCTATATCGGATTTATGGTGGATCCGATTCCAACAAAATTATCAATATTAATGAGAGAGAAAGTTACATTAAATTCCATATATGAAGCGTGCGTAGCCAGGCATTTCATCTTCTGCAGGCGCTTGTAATGCAGTTATTTCAAAACCTGCAGATCAATTCCTGGCAGCAGCGAGCTGTAAAAACCTTACTGGATAATTTCTTGCAAAGATCAGAACAGTAAATTGTGGAGTGAAAGAAAAGCACAACCCCGGCCTGATATCCATAAATAACGCAATTAATCATCTGAGGACTGCAGTTAATCATAGCTTTAATTTAGAAGTACATACAAACTACATTGTATTATATTCTAGAAGGCCTGATTCTGCATCTTGCTTCCTTCTGCCCCAGTAAAGTTCATCTTCATTCATCAACCTCAATTCGTTACACTGTGTGAGTAAAGTAGGCATGTAATTCCGTTTTGGTTTGAATATGATTTTGTATTACTGTTATAACTATTAAACCATGCACGACAATGGTAGAACTGTAGAATGAGAGAAAAAGTTTAAGGTTTTAAGGATAAAATTTGTGGAACGTGGGATTATGACCAGGAAGAGCATTGGTAGAGACGACAATATATAGACTGAATTGAGTATGAAAAGTGAAAACTGGAGATTTGATTTGCTTGGAATTGAAGACTTTTGGTAAAGTATATATAGATGTTGAGATATGAGATATCGACCACTCTTCTTACATTCATCTCCCCCATTTTTTGGATGCAATGTTTCAATATAATTCCCACTTTGTTTGCAAACATGTTTTCTTTCTTTCCACATTTCTGTAGGATATATTGAAAATGAAAATGCTCCCATTTCCCTCTTGATTTTTAGTTTTTACCTCCAATTTTCTCTTCATGATGTGACTTTCATTCATTGATGAGTGCAAATGAATTTACTAACTCACCACTAAGAACAACCACATTAGTGAATTTTGCGCAAATGTTTACAGGTCAAAAAATTGACAATAATTTTTACACAAATGGAGAAAGTAATTTTTTTATAAATGTTTTTCTCTTGCAAGACCCTAATTTTTTGTGGGTCCCACAGAAGAGAAATGGCAGAAGGATATTGCATATGTGCGCATTTGGCACACATCCTACGACTGCACGCATCAACTGGTCGCGTTCATCTGCACTTTTTTTTTTTTGGTTTTTTTTTGCTATTTTTTCCCTCCCTCCCATTTCTATTTCCTAATCATATGTAAAAAAATAAAAAATAAAATAAAATAAAATAAAAACCTGACAAATGAGCTTCCTCAAACTAATAAATAAATTTACATGTTGACACATTATGAAGGAAATTCGTAAAGAAAATACAATAGGAAGGAAATTCGTAAAGAAAATACAAGAAGGTTTGTAGCAGTGTTCTATTTAAAATTATATAATTTTAATTTTTAATCATTTAATGGTAATAACAAATTAATAATTTATGGCTATGCTCACGACAGCAATTGAAATAGTCAAAGCAATATGCTTTATGAAAAATCATTTACATAAACTACAATTAGAGTGCTCACTATTGAATTTTTTTTTTTAAAAAAAAGAGTGCTCACTATTGACTGTAAAAATTTCAATTGAAAAAATAAGTTCAGAGTTCTAATGGGCCTATAAGTTGACGGGTCGAATGGAGCAGCCCAGGAGGGTAGATCCAGTTGTTATGCAGTCAATAGTTATGCTGTGCAACCGAATGTACCATGCGCATGGTGCATACAGTTCAAAACGATATCGTTTTGATTAAAAACGCGCGTCCCACTTAAAAAAAAATCAGGTTCGACTCTCAGCAATAGCATAATTGTGGATATATAGTTATGAAATTGTGGTTATATAGTTATGAATTTATGGATATTTAGTTCATTCATTGTGGATATTTAGTTCAATCATATATTGTGGATATTTAGTTCATTCATTGTGGATTTTTACTTCATTCATTCATTCATTGTGAATTTTTACTTCATTCATTCATTGTGGATATATAGTTATGAAATTGTAGATATATAGTTATGAAATTGTGGTTATATAGTTATGAATTTCTGGATATATAAAAATGCTATTACCGGGAATCGAACCTGATTTCTTCTTTAAGTGGGACGCGCGTTTTTTTTAACCAAAACGGCGCCGTTTTGCAACCGTATGCACCTTGCAAGGTGCATTCGGTTGCACAGCATAATTTGCGTTATGCAGTGGAACATCGTCCACATATCACTGTGTGGATCATGATCGTCAAATAAAGTATAATAGAATTAAAACGATATTTTAGTGTTAAACTAGTATGTGTAGAAAATGAAACTAAAAAATAATACACATTATTGACAAATGAAACTGTAGTATAATTAAAACGATACTTTAGATTTTAGTATTGTTTATAATGAAACTAATGTGCGTGGAAAATGAAACTAAAATCTAGAGCCACAGAATAACATATATTGTCAAATGACCTGAAGTGCAATTAAATTAATATTTTAACATTACTATAATTAAACTAGTGTGTGTGAAAAATGAAAAAAAAAATAAAAATAGAGCTCAAGCAATAATGTATATTATAAAATGAAACTATAGTCGAATTAAAATGATATTTTAGTACATGCCTATATTATTTGTCAATGTTTAATATAATTACTATGCATATTTGGGTATAATTGTCAAGCAACATAAAATTTTCAAGATATAAATATTTGGGTAGCATAAGTCATCTTTATTATTTGGTAAATGTTGGATACATTTATGAGTCCTATTAAATTGTGATCTCAGATTTTGGAGAGCTTTTTAGCCAAAGTGGTATCAAAAACTTTGAGGAAAAACCTAGTCCTGGGAATGGAGAAATTGGCCTCCATAATTGAACCAATTGAAGAAATAAGCTGCTTCTTAACCTCTGAATTGATGCCTCCCATGGACACAACCTCAGCAAAAGCAGCTGCTTCCTTATTCCCTCCGAAATGTATGTTTGCTGATCCTTTCAGTACAATCATCACATACTGCATATGTACAGTGTAATTACATCACCTTTAATTTAATATTAATCAATTCAAAAGCATATATATATATATATATATATATATATATATATATATATATATATATATATATATATACACATATGACAAATGAAGTGTTATAATAATAATAATAATATTATTATTATTATTATTAGTAATATTAAACCAAGTAGTTAGTTAATTGGTTAAAAATAATGGGAGTAATTATAGGTGCAGTACATGGCCATGATGTTAGCTTTACATGGAGTATTAACTCCTTTATTTTAGCATTTGAATTATCTTATCTAGTATAAATGGATTTGTTATTCAAGCATTTCTAATCATCAATAAAATTATCTATTCCTCTCTCTCTCTCTTCTCAATATATATAAATATAATATATAGATATATTATATTTAATATATATTATAGATATATTATATTATATTTAATATATATTATATTTAATATATCCAACATTTGGTATCAGAGCCAGTCAACCTTTTAACCCCGAGGTATTTTTCATAGTGAATTATGGCCACAAATTTCAATATTGTATGGTTGGGTCCCAAATTGGATGGGAACCTCGATTACAATTATTGGCAAATTATGATGTCCACACATTTGCAAGCTCAAAATCTATGGAGCTTTGTTGATCCCGGTCTACCCGAAGGAGCTGATGCAGGCGCTATACGGCGAGATAAATTGGCGTTGGGTCAGATTCACCAAGGTGTTCATTATTTCATTTTTGAGCAATTAGCTCGTGCTCAAACAGCAAAACAAGCTTGGGACATCTTAAAGGTGTCACACAAAGGAGTCGATCGGGCGCAGAAGTCTAAGTTGCAGTCGTTGAGAAGGTTGTACGATAATTGTGAGATGACCGCTACAGAAACAGTAGATGCGTATTTCACTCGTCTTATTGATATGGTGAATAAGATGAGGCTATATGGAGATACGATTGAAGATGGTGCAGTGGTTGAAAAAGTTCTTCGAACTATGCCGATGAAGTATGACCATGTGGTGGCTTCAATAACTGAGTCACACAAAACCGAGCTCTTATCAATTGCAGAGCTGAAAGGTATGGTAGAAAGTCATATTGACAGGATTGCGTCAAAATCGGAACCACTAGCAGAAGAAGCTTTGAAGAGTCAAGTCACCCTTAATGTGACTGGCACTAATCAAAGAGGTGGAGGATCTGGTAGAGGTCGTGGAAGAGGAAGAGGAGGTTCTGGTGGAAGAGGTCGTGGTAACTTCAACCAAGGAGGAGGACGTGGTAACTCCAACCAAGGAAGAGGTGGAGGTAATACCAAACAAGGTAAATTTCCATTTCATTGCTACAATTGTGGCAAGTATGGGCACAAGATTGCAGATTGTTGGTATAATGAGGACAACAATCGTGGAAATCAAGCAAACATTGCTGAAAACACTGCTGAAAAGTCTGGTGAGAGTTCTGAAACTTTACTTTTATCCAGCGATAGTTTTTCTGCAGATAAGAACATATGGTTCTTGGATACTGGGTGTAGTAACCATATGTGTGGGAAGAAAGAATTGTTTTCTGAACTGGATGAATCAGTCCGGTCTGAAGTGACATTTGGCAATAAGTCAAAGGTGCCAATTTTGGGAAAAGGTAAAATCTCTATTCAATTGAAGGATGGTACTCACAATTTTATATCCGATGTGTTCTATGTTCCTGAACTACACCAAAATTTGTTGAGTATGGGTCAGTTGTCAGAAAAAGGATATAAGATACATATTGCTCAGGGGTGTTGTACCATTGCAGATGCTAAAGGAGTTTTGATTGCAAAGGTAAATATGTCCCAAAATCGACTATTTCTTTTGAAAATTAAGCATACTCTCCTTGCTTGCTTTAATTCTGAAGTTTGTGATGATAATTGGCTATGGCATATGCGGTTTGGGCATTTTCATTTTTCTGGGTTAAACTATCTTGCGAGAAAGGAACTTGTTTCTGATTTACCTGTTGTGAATGTCCCTAATCGTATTTGTGAGATTTGTGTGATTGGGAAGAAGCATAGAGATCCCTTTCCCGTGGGCAAGTCAAGGAGAGCCACAAAACAGTTGGAGATTGTTCACTCAGACCTGTGTTCGTTGGAGGTTCCCTCATATGGAGGTTGTAAGTACTTTATTACTTTCATTGATGATTTCAGTAGGAAAACATGGGTTTACTTTCTGAAGCAAAAGTCTGAAGCATGTGATGTTTTCAAACAATTTAAGGCTTTTGTTGAAAAGCAAAGTGGTTATGAAGTTAAAATCTTGAGAACTGATAGAGGTACAGAATATATTGCTTGTGATAATTTTCTGAAAGAAAAGGGTATTCAGCACCAAATGACAGCTAGATACACTCCACAACAAAACGGAGTGGCTGAGAGGAAGAATAGGTCAATCATGGATATGGTGAGGTGCATGTTGAAATCCAAGGATCTACCTAAACCTTTTTGGGCAGAAGTTGTTGCTTGTGCTGTCTATGTGTTGAATAGGTGTCCAACTAAGAGTGTCCGTGATAAGACGCCCGAAGAAGCTTGGAGTGGGAGAAAACCCTCTATCAAATATCTCAAGGTTTTTGGATGTTTGGCATATGCCCACGTGCCGGATCCATTGAGAAAGAAGTTGGATGATAAAGGTGAGAAATGAATATTCATTGGTTATAGTGACGCTTCAAAGGCTTATAAACTATACAATCCTGAAACTAAAAAGGTTGTTATAAGTCGTGATGTCACTTTTGATGAATATGGTGCCTGAGATTGGTTAGCTAAAGATGAAAGTTCAGTTGTTATTCCTGCTGTTGAAAATATTGTTGAAGAGCAACCGATTCCAGATAATGTCCAGTCTCCTTCACAGCCAGAATCGTCAGTTCGGCGATCTCAGCGCGAGCGCCACTTACCAGCTCGCTTGCAAGATTATGTTTTGGGTCATGATAATGACCTGTCTGATGAAGAGATTGTTCAATTTGCTCTCTTTGCAGATTGTGATCCTTTAACTTTTGAGGAGGCTGCTACAGAAACTCATTGGCTTAAGGCGATGGATGAGGAGATACGTGCCATTGAAAAGAATGGTACCTGGGAGTTAACAGATTTACCTCCTGGAAAGAAGCCGATTGGAGTAAAGTGGGTTTACAGAACGAAGTACAAATCAAATGGAGAAATTGACCGTTTTAAGGCACGGTTGGTAGCAAAGGGTTACAAGCAAAAACCAGGTATTGATTATTTTGAGGTTTTTGCTCCTCAAAATGATTGGAAATTGCATCAAATGGATGTCAAGTCTGCTTTTTTGAATGGTTTTCTTGAAGAAGAAATATATTTTGAACAACCTGCAGGATTTCTGAAGAAAGGGGAGGAAAATAAAGTGTACAGGTTGAGAAAAGCTTTGTATGGCTTAAAGCAAGCGCCTAGGGCGTGGTATGGTTGCATTGATTCATATTTTGTTGAAAGTGGTTTTATGAGATGTCCTCATGAACACACTTTGTATGTCAAATGCACGGATTCTGGTGATATTGTTCTAATCTGTCTGTATGTTGATGATCTGGTTTTTACTGGAAATAACTTGAAGTTAATCTCAGAATTCAAGGAGGCACTCATTAAGAGGTTTGAAATGACCGATATGGGCCTTATGTCTTACTTTCTTGGCCTTGAGGTTGTTCAGATGGATGGTGGAATCTTTATTTCACAAAAGAAGTATGCTGCTGATATTTTGAAAAAGTTCAAAATGGAAAACTCCAAACCAGCTTCAACTCCGGTAGCTGAAAAGTTAAAGGTGTCCAAAGATGAGTGTGGTAAGAATGTGAATGTTACGTCTTATAAAAGCTTAATTGGAAGTCTGAGGTATCTGGTGGCAACAAGGCCAGATATTTCTTTTGGAGTTAGGATACTTAGCAGATTCATGGAGGAACCAAAAGAATCACATTGGGCTGCAGCAAAGCGAATTCTAAGATATGTCAAAGGTACGAGTAATGATGAAATTTTTTACTCTACTAATGAAGTAGTGGAACTTGTTGGGTATACAGACAGTGATTGGGCTGGAGATATTGAGACCAGAAAAAGCACATCAGGATATGCCTTCTATCTTGGTTCAGCCATATTTTCTTGGTCTTCAAAGAAGCAGCAGATTGTAGCACTTTCAACCGCAGAAGCATAATATATTGCAGCAGCAAACTGTGCTACTCAAGCAGTTTGGTTGAGGAGAATTTTGGAGTTCTTACAACACAAGCAGGAAGCACCAACAACTATTTTTTGTGACAACAAGTCAGCAATTTCGTTGTCCAAGAATCCTGTCTTTCATGGTCGCAGTAAACACATTGATATCAAGTATCACAAAATCAGAGAACTGGTTGCTGAAAAACAAATCAACATTGAGTATTGTTCGAGTGAGTGTCAAGTTGCAGATATTTTTACGAAGCCGTTGAAGACAGAGACATTTCTTAAATTGAAGAAGGATATTGGGATGACCAATATATTCAACTTGGTTTAAAGGAGACAATGTTATAATAATAATAATAATAATAATAATAATAATAATAATAATAATAATAATAATAATAATAATAATAATAATAATAATAATATTATTATTATTATTATTATTATTATTATTATTATTATTATTATTATTATTATTAGTAATATTAAACCAAATAGTTAGTTAATTGGTTAAAAATAATGGGAGTAATTATAGGTGCAGTACATGGCCATGATGTTAGCTTTACATGGAGCATTAACTCCTTTATTTTAGCATTTGAATTATCTTATCTAGTATAAATAGATTTGTTATTCAAGCATTTCTAATCATCAATAAAATTATCTATTCCTCTCTCTCTCTTCTCAATATATATAAATATAATATATAGATATATTATATTTAATATATATTATAGATATATTATATTATATTTAATATATATTATATTAAATATATTATATTTAATATATCCAACATGAAGGGATAAATTAAAGAAGATAATCAAATATAAAGTTGGTCTCATCTTCACTAACCCTACTTTTGTGGAAAAATAAATAAAAAATAAAAGCCACAATCGAAGAGAAAAAAGGTACATAGGAATATGGTGGGAATTGACACAACGTTTGTTGACAACAATGCCAAGTGTACTGATTCAGTGCAAAAAGTAAGAGAATCAGACTATGATAACGTTTCAAAATAAATTATTACTTTAAATTTTTTATATTTTATATTTTATTAAACATAACTTATAACTTATTTATAACTTAAAATAATCTGTAAACTATAAAATAAAGTTTTACTATGTAACTGCTATCTAATCCATCACTAATGTTAATCTCATTGGCAAGTCAATACCCAATTAAATATTGCATTATAATTACCAATAAATTATATAATTTGCGTGAAGAAATTGTCCACTTTAAGACCAATAATTTAGCGCTGTGCATTATTGTTTAACAGGAATGCTATGTTCAGATTTCTACCCCACAGAAATTATAGTGCTTAGTACGTACGTAAGACAAGGACAAGAGGCTTAAAAATTACCTCTCAACTTCTCAAGAATGTTTGGTTTCAAGGAAAGGAATTTTAAAAACAAAAAATGGAAAAACAAGGATATACTGTCCCTTTTACATATTTAGAATTGAAAAAATTGTATTTTTCGTCTCTAAATTATAAAGTAATTATAGAATTCATTTCTAATTGTTGGTGATACTCACTTTTCATCTCTAAGCTATAATTAATGTTGCAAATTCTGTCCATTTATTAACAAAACATTAGAGAACGAAATTTGCAACGTTAGTATATCTTAGGGATGAAAAATGAGCAGAACTTGTTATTAAAATGATAAAATTTACAACATCAATTATAACTTATTAAAAAAAAAATGAGCATGACTAACAAATAGAGACAATTTCTTTGTAATTTAGTTTAGCATTTACAAACTCACAAAAGACTCAGACAAAAAAAAAAAAAAAAAAAAAAAACTTCATCATTGGTCATATGTTTTAAGTGCATAACTTTTTTTTAAAAATTATTTTTTAATCTTTCGGGTGAAAATTAAATCTGGTTACAAAATCTTATGAAATTTCTATCAAATTTCTTGCCAAAATGACCATACAATATAGAAGTGGTTGAATTATTAGGAAAGAAGCCATTACATTATGATCAAATCAAATAAAACCAAAGGAAAATAACTTTTTTGTTTTTGGATCCATGGAAGGAAAAATAAAGGCATATTTGAGCATCTTTTATAGGCCGCCATTAACGATAGAATAAATTGATTCCTTCAAGTAGCTACGAATCAAATGGATATTGCCATCCTTTCAAGATAAGGCACATCACTTTCCTTCGGGGTGGGGTACCACCCCTCCCTTCATCCCCAAAATTTCCATCAATTTCAGAAACCCCCCCCAAAAAAAAATCTGCAGAACCATCGTTTTGACTTTGGAATCATATTACTGGACCAAAATTTTGAAGATTATAGATATAATCTGGACTATTTCTGGATGAGATGAAGTTGACTTTAAGGTCAAATTAAATGCCCTATTCTCCATGCAACTTGAATTTACTCCAAAAAAGAAACAGAGAAAAAACTAATTAAACGCACCAAACAATTCCAAAATATGAATTGAATTATTACGCAGGGCGAGGTTTGGGATATAATTAATCAGAAACTAACGTATATAAAGATAGAGGATCGGAAGAGTACCTTTTCGGGTTTTCCGATGATGTTGGCGACGGCGGTGGTGGCTTCTTTGAAGAATGAGTCGACGTCCACTCCATCCAGGTTGACGTTAGTAGATATATCTAGGCAAGGCATTTCTTCTTCTTCTTCTTTTTTAATAATGTTTTTTTTAACCTATGATAGATCGAGGGGAAGAGAACTGGGTAGAGAAGGGTTGAGACTTGAGAATGCAACTTTGCTTAATTTGTTAAAGCTGTGACAAGACAGGTCCTTTGCATTTATAGTTGAAGCTGTTACCATGATTTATGTATTTTCATATGCTCAATTGGATAAGAGCCTACGGAAACTTTAGGATTGGGAATTCAACTATTTAAAACATAATAATTTATTTTTTTTAATGTTATTGACTTTATTACATTATAGTAACTGTTTAAACATATTTTATCAACTTATTGAAGCACAAAGAGTTAACAACGCCTCAATCTCATGACCTCTCATAGTCTCATATATAGGAGAGGTCACTACATGCCATTTTAGCTCAAAAACTCTTTACTAGAGAAGCTCTAAGAACCAAACAAACTTTTGAATTGTAAAATGAAACGATATAACTAGTCAATTTTCAAAACAAAAAATACTTTGTCCTCTCAAAAATTTATTCCCTACTTTTACTCCCACTTCTGTTTAAATTTAATTGAAGGAAAAAGAATATATAAACATTGTGATCCCTTATTAAATTGAACAATCAAAGCATGTTAAATTATAAAGAATAAAAAATATAAATAAAAATTGAGAGTACATGTGGAATTATTCTTTTTTAAAGGTACCATTAAGGCATTAATGTATTAATTATTCTTACATGTAATCTTCCGGACTTCCTGGTATTACGTACATCAATTACGTGAAAGCAAAGTTATATTTAATTTAAAATTTTAAAAGTTTTCTAATTAATCATGGTAAAAGTATATATTCCAAAGAACTTGTGTTTGAACGTAATAAGTATCACCCTTCAAATGAGAGGTTTCAAGTTCGAATTTTAGTGTAGAGACATTAAATAGATACGTTAATACCATTCAAAAAAAAAAAAAGTTTTCTAATAGGATGCCTCACGTGTACACCTTTTGTTACGCAAATTATGCCGTGCAACTATGTGCACTATGCATGGTGCACACGGTTGCAAAAATGACATCGTTTTGATTAAAACGACGCGTCTGATTTTTTAAAAAAATATTTTCGATTGTTGTTAACAGCGTTATGCTGTGCTATATATTTAGAATTAATGAACTATATATCCAAAATTAGTGAACCATATATCCTCACATGTTACTGATACTCTATTTTGGCTTATGGCAGTTCGCTGCATCTGTGTATTCATAATGAATGAACTATATATTCAGAATTAATGAAATATAAATTCAAAATTAGTGAACTATATATCCAGAATTAATTAATTATATATCCAAAATTAGTGAACTATGTACCCAGAATTAATGAACTATATATCAAGAATTGGTGAACTATATATTCAGAATAAGTGAATTATATATCCACACTGAAAATGGTGAAAGTCCCGTCGATTGGAGTTTAAAAAAAAAAATTAATTGGTGGAGTTAAACGGTGTCACTAATAGCGCCGTTACTCCACTATAGTGAAACGGCGTCATTCGCAACCGTGTGCACCATGTGCATCATGCATGGTGCACACGGTTGCACAGCATAATGATTGCCTTTTGTTATGATCACCCTGGGCCTAATGGTAAAAGGCCCAACATGCTAGCCCAAGTTCCTCTTTGTAAACCATGGCAAACCAATCAAATTATACCATGTCAAATTTTCAAGCATGAATAAAAGATGTATTTTTAATATACTAAAGGCACATTATTTATGCAATGGATGTATATTTTTTAATAGAATATAAAATAATATATTTTTAATATTCAATACATAAATAATGTACATTTGGTATATTAAAAATGTACATTTTATTCATGGTCTATGGAATAATTATTGTTATACCACGTTCTAGGGTCTACCTTGTATTGTGAACTCTAGTCCAAAATGATATTCAAATGACATGTTTACAGTTAATAGATTATATGTCTGTAGTTAATATGCCTTCAATTTATTTACAGATACATAATTTATTAATTGAAAACACATAATATATTAACTACAGACACATAATTTTTGGACAAGGGTCATTATGTGAACCCTAGTCTATGGTATATCAATTAGGCAAACCATCATGTCATTAGGTCCACCTTATATTGTAGATTTTGATTCAAAATAATATTCGAGTTATGTAACTACAGCTAACATATTATGTACCTATAAATAAATTAAAAATAGAAAATATGTTGTATATAATTTATTAACTGTAAATACATAATTTAAATGTTATTTTAAACTAAAATAAATCACAATTAAAAATGTTAGGGAACAGAACTTTTGATAAACTACTCATTCAGTCATTCGTGTTCGGTAAAACCTTTCTCCATCCTTGCAATTGGAGGCGACCGCAAGATGATTTATCATTTTCCACTTCATTATCTTTTTCAAAAATATTTATATGATGGTGTGTTTTCCAATGCTTGCTAAATTAGCCTGCAATGCTAAATGCATAGTTCTTTGTCATTTTGTTGACTTTTTTATTATTATAAATTTTTACTTTTTCTTTTTTAATAATAAATTTAATATTATTATCATATTATATTTTAAGAGTAAATTGAATCTATAAGGATATATAGAAAATAATATTGATTTAAAAATATAATGATATTACAATATGATCCATTTTTTAAAGTGAAAAAGAACAAAGACGATAAATATAATCTAAAAATGCCACATAAGAAAAAAAATAAAGTAGTCATTTAATCAATTTTATAAAGACTAAGATGAGTTTAATTGTAATTTTCTTTCAAATTTGAGTGTTTTTTTTTTTTTAAACTTGGAATTTATTTACATCTTTAAAAATGCATGTTTGATAGTTTATTTGACCTGTATATATCCTTAATTTTCTAATTCTTTCTTTCTCGATGTCTTCCAACGTGGGCTGGTCTTGTTTCAAACTTCAAATTATGAAGTCAGGTTAAGAACATGATTTAACAATCATTATACCCTACACCACAGTGCGCGTAGCACTGTGCGCCTCCCAAAACAACGTCGTTTTGGGAGGCGCGGTAGGAAGTTGTTGTAATTATGTATATTTGTTCATACGATTATGTATATTTGTTCATACAGTTATGTACATTTTTTATACAATTATGTACATTCTTTTTATACAATTATATACATCCGAATCAGAAAATTTTTGTATATTATGTTAAGAGTTGATATATATTATGTTAAAAGTTTATGTTTATTATGTATTATGTTAGATTATGTGTATTATCTTTTAAAAAAGAATATGTATATTTTGTTATATAATTATGTACATTCATATATACAATTATGTGTATTCTAGTATAACATTATGTACATTTTTGAACATGGGTTTTTTTTTAAAGAAAAATTAACTGCCATACACTGGGGCGGGAAATTTCAGAAAAAAAAAAAAAAAAGAAGAATTTAAAACGACGTCGTTTTGCATCTGGACGCACAATGCAACGCGTGCCATGGTGTAGGTTATAAATTGCCTTGATTTAATGCAACATTTCGACTGGGCCGTGGTCCAATGTTATTGGCAGCCGTATGACATTTTTTTAAAGTAATATTTTACACTTTTTTTAATAGAATGAATTTTATTGAACATAACATATTTTAATTAATTACTTTTCAAATTAAGAATTCTATTGAAAACATGTCATGTTTTTTTCTATACGCACTAATATCTATATCCGCATTCTATGAAATGAAACTAATACAGTCGAGTTTTTATGAAATGATTGACTTATTTTGTTAGCATGTATTGATTAAAGTGGGTGATATTTACAAATGATAGCCAAGTCAAGAACTATTATTTATGACATAATTGTTGTGTATGTCTCATATGTTATTAGGAGATAGTAGATGCTAGAGCATAGCGAGTGGAAAAAATAAAGCGATATCAAGTTATCAACTGTCTATGTAGTTTGAACCCGTAACCGATCCGAGTTCAACTGGCCTTTACTCCTGTGAATGTAGGCTTTCAGTTGAACCACGTAAACTATTCTTCTTCTTCTTTGTTTTCGTTTTCTTCTCAACAATAACAATCCACATATACTAGGTTTATCCCATTTTTAGTGTAGTTTTAATATGTTTATCCAATTGTATGTTTTACAAACAATATAAAGTGAGTGAAGATGAAAAATCAAACAAAGAAGTCATAGAAGATCAACCCATATTTATGCTAGCTAGCTAGTAAATACAAACAAGATGGTTAATTTAGCATAAGAGCCATTATTCTTACACAATTACACTAGGTTTTCTTCAAACCGGCCTTAACATATATAGGTAACATATATGAGTTGCCTTACTCATGAACAGTACATAGTAACTGGCAAATCAAATCAAATCAGGTTTTTTTTTTTTTTTTTTTTGAAAATAATCAAATCAGGTAATTACCAACAAATTAAATTGTCTCATCACATTCTGGACAATCTTGTAGCCAAACTGTTATCATAAACTTTGAGGAAAAACCGAGCCCTGGGAATGGAGAAATGGTTGTCCAAAATTGAACTAATTGAAGAAATTAGGTCACTCTTAACCTCTGAATTCATGCTTCCTATGGATAAAACCTCACCTAAAGCAGCTGGTTCCTTGTTCCCCCTCAGTGTTATGGTTGCTGATCCTTTTAGTACAACCATCACCGACTGTCATGTGTAAAAACAATTTACTCAACTTATATCACAATTAATCAATCGATTCAAAAGCGTATAAGATACTGAGAGAATAAATGAGATCTGATTTAAAGTTGGCTTTTACTAACTTTACTTTTAGAAAGAAAAACAATCTCACAATCAAAGTGAAATAAGAGGTTATTGAAAGTAAAACGATCATTGTTAATGAAAAAGATGAATATATATAGGTGAAGAATGAATAAGAATTCACATAAACGTGCTAGAAACATATTTCTTTCTAAGAATTACATTTTAAACTTTTTTTCATACAAAACATGACAGAAACACATAAACACTTCTCACCGAGAATTTTTGTACATCACAAATAGTGAGGTTTAATTTGGAAATTATTCAGATACTTATATATAAAGATAGAGGGATCGGAGTTGGGGTGGGGGAGGAGGAAGATAAGGGTACCTTTTCAGGCTTTCCGGTGATGTTGGCAACGGCGGTGGTGGCTTCTCTGAAGAATGAATCAACATCCACTCCCTCAAGGTTGACATTAGTAGATATATCTAGGCAAGGCATTTTTTTTTCCTTAAACTATATTTTGTAGCTTATTATGGGAGAGACAAGAATGTTCAGAATGCTACTTTCATGGAGTTTCCTAAATAGGTCCTTTCTATTTATAGTAGCGACTATCAGGCTATGCTTATTTTTAGCATATTCCTACAAATCTAATAAGAGTATAGATGAACAAAGTGTAATTGTTTGTTGAAATGAATGGTTCATTTTATTTTGATTTTAATTTTTTAATGATTTTCTTATTACCCACTATTATATTATTTTCTTCCCTTAAATAACTGAACATTTTCTTAGTATAAACTTTAGTAACGAAATATATTCCATTAACTATTTATTATTCTTAACATACTCATTAATTTCTATAAGAAAGTTCTTAAGTTCGAACATCATCCCAATCAGAGTTGACATAATTGTTAAACATATGATATGCATATGATAAAATGTATTAAAAAATACAATATAAAATTTAACATAAACTTTGGTCAAATAATTAGCCCGACTAAATAGATAGCATTCAATGATTATAAATCAAGAACCTTGAAATCATTTTCTTGCTTTTTTTTTTAAAAAAAAAAAAAAAAACAAATTTAAGTTAATTTTTTTTTTAAAATCAAAGTTGAGCATCAAAGATTATAAATCGGAAACTTTGAAAATCATTTTCTTTGCATTTAAAAAAAAATTAGATCAAGTTTTTTTTTTCTTTTTCTTTTCGTTTAATTAATTTTTTTTTTTTAATTTAGAACAAGACTCAATATTTCAATTATGCTTTTGCATTATTGGAATGATTTAGATCATTATGGTATTAATATTTTTTGTATGTATTTCTACAATGGTACAATTGTGCATTACTTTACAAATATTGTACTATTATTTTTTTATTGGACAAAATTGTTCTTACATCATTGTCAGACCTGGGCGACCTAAATACAAAGTTGTTGATCATAAATACAACTACACTGGACTCTAAAACAGTAGGATCATTTTCCAAAGAATTGACAATGTTGACATCCCATTGGTTCCTCCATGGTCGGCGATAGACAAGGACGACCGCCATCAATGTAGCCTAACAAACCTTGGCCGCGGAAAAAGGGGATGATCTGGGTTCTCCAAAACAAATAATTACGATTGGTTAATTTTATTGAAACGAAATGGTGAGCGGAGTTTAGAGAACCGGGGTTGGTGTTTAGGGAGGAGACGGTGGTTGCCGTCGGTGTTCTCTCCCGATGAATTGCTAAACATTCTCGGTTGAGGCAATGAGAGAAAAAGGGATAAGCCTGGCTAACTGATACCAGGTGAGATTGGGAAAGTGTCGATTAATTCAATAACTGAAAACCTGATACAATAATACTAGCAATAGAATTCCCTGTACAATAGGCTATAGAATAGCTCAACTAATCTAAGTCATACAAGTATATTAAATATTTAATTACACTAATAGTTGACATCCCATTGGTTCCAATTGAACAAGTTTATACATCATTCTTAAAATTTTATTAATTTATGAAAACTGCTAAAGAAATTTGTAAGTTAATTATTACTATATCATTATAACAATATCTATTATAACCATATATTTCGAATTATTTATTATCATCCTCTATTGACAGCAATTGTAGCAATTGTCATTGGCAAACTCCCAAAACAAATTGTCTCAACAACGAATAATATAAATAAATAAAAAATCAAAGACTTCATTGTTGTGGATGAAAAGTAAATACTTCACTTTATTACTCTTATTAAATTAAATAAATAAATTAGTAGCTACAACAAAAAATAATACATATGCATTTAATAACCAGGACTATGTGGTCTAATGGTACCTGGGTTGGACTTCCATTTGGAAGGTTGTAAGTTCGAGCCTCAATGGAGGTGTTATTAGCTCGTTGTGTTTCAGTAGGTTGAGAAAGTATATGAACAGATACTACAATGTAATAGAGCTAGTAGCATTCAAAAAAAAAAAAAAGATGTCTATAGTGCATTTATTCTTAAAAAAAATATATTCATTATAAAAAAAAAATTAAAAAGATATATAATTCCATTAGTTATATTATCTTTATTTTCTACAATTCAAAGATTCCTTACCTTCAAATTCATTAATTAATTATATTCACTACATTGTCCATGGTCTTATTTTTACACTATTTTGTAATTAAATACCAAGTTATAATAAAAAAAATATGTTATATATATTTATTTACCAAGTATTTTATACAAATATAATAAATATTAATATGTTGTTGAATACTTTCACATGATAATATACGACACACATCTCACAACACATGAAACATGTAGGAGAAAAAACTATCACAGCCAAATATCAACCGGCGCTTGCAAGATAAAGAGTTCGTAGTACAACTAAAATTAAATCATATACACAGCAAGACAAATCTAAGACTTCCTACACCATAATCTCATTGTATGACACTACCCTCTATGCTACCACCAGTAACTCAATTGCACATGACACACTACCAATATAAAAAGAAGATGACAAGTACTGAACATGAAGACAATGACAATGTTATCCAAAAGAGAATTAAGAAGACTTAGAGATATTTAAGCCAAAAATAGTATTTATTTAGACTATCATTTTTAGATTAGCGTTATTACAAAGTTGCAAACATTTATTTTAGTGACAATTATAGTCAATCTCTCATATATTATCTTGCATTTGTATACTTTGAATTACTTATTTAAATAAACAAATTCAACATTCAATTACCTATGCATAAACATTTCTTATATAATCTTGCATTGATATAAAAGTACTTATTTAAAAATAATCATTGAACATTATTTCATTCCCGCAATGCGCATGAAAAACTTGTAATAATCCATAATAAAAACGTGGAAACTTAAGGATTCTTACTTGCCACAGTTTTTTCCTTTACTCTTTTTCTTTTTCTAAAAAAAAAAACATCATCAATTAACTTTACTTTTTATTGGATTTTGGTTTTGTGATTCTTTCTTTCTTTTTTCTCGACTTTTCCGAACATAACACATACATATGCTGGTCCTTTTTTATTCAAACGTCCTCCTCAGCTTGTTTCATTTTGCATGTCTGGTTTACTATTCTATGGCCTTGGCTCAGCTTTTGTGGTGTTATTATTATTTTTTTTTTACTTTTTCTTTTCTGACATTATTTTTGCCATTGCATGCTAAATCTTTCCCAATTATTTCTTTCTCACATCAACTATTATTTTTGCTTGAGAAATTTAATGTAAAAAATAACTCCACATTCTCTTCTAATGTGGATGCTTTTAGTACATTGTCAACAATATTTTGACCCGGCTACTATCCCAATATTATTAGTCATGTATTTCGAGTCGTAGATTGATTTTATCATATGATTTAAATAATAGTACACATATTCCCAACAAAATTACTTTGGCAAAATCTCCTATGATATCATCTCACAAATCTTCATCCGTGTGACGTGTCGAAGTTTTTTTTTTTTTTTTTCTATAAGTATTATATTATACTTTCCATCATAATTATTACAATTTGCTTTATAAGTAACTCTTAACTCCTAATATTTTATTTTGATTTAAAAGTATTACATTTTGCATAAAAAATATTACATTTGTCCTCATAAGCACTACGTAGTACATTTTTTCTCATAAGCAATAATCAATCAATTTATCCCTGATTGATATTATATTTTCTCATAAGTAACTGTTCAACTCCCAAATATTATATTTTGATTTAAAAGTATTATATTTTTATCAAAAGTATTACATTTTTTTTTATCATAAGTATCAATCAAACTTTCAAAAAAAAAAAAAAAAAAAAGTATCAATCAATCAATTTGTTCCTGATTAGTATTACACTTTTTTTCATAAGTAATTGTTTAACTCTAAAATATTACATTTTAATTTCAAAGTATCATATTTTTCAACAAAAGTATTACGATTTTTCTTATAAGTAACAACCAATTTATTCCAAATTAGTGTTATATTTTCTAATATAAGTATTATATTTTCATCTTGATCCGATCCATATGGTAAATAAGAATCCGTGAGACCATCTCATCCTTCTCTATTTAGTTGTATACTTGTATGAGTTGTATCACACTTTTAATGTCCTCAATAATTTTACGTTTTACTCACTTTATAGCATAATAAAGTGGCTTAACACTAAGCATAATTTAATTACAATTATTATTATGAGAACTTGAGAAGTGTGAATTGACGTAACAAAAAAAAAAAAAAAAAAAAAAAAAAAAAAAAAAAAAAAAAGGAAGGAGGTGGTATTGTATTATGTATATCTCATGGGTCTCATGCTTTTGTCTGTTAGTCTATAATTTATTAGTCAAATCAATTATAATTTATTTTTAATTAGTTTTTACAATAATTTTAATTTTAAAATTTATATTTAATAGTACTCTTAATAATATAAACTTTATATACTAACACTTAACTAAATACACAAAAAATTAAATTGTAAATAATTTGAGTTAAGTATCATCAATCAATTCCTATACATAAAATAAAATGAGACCAGAAGAAATATATTAAAATTTGAGGTGTATATAAAAAATAATAATAATACTCGGACAAAAATTATTGGCAGTGCACATCCTAACTTTATAACTTTGACTGACTTACCCATACATCTTTTATAAAGCATGAGAAATGGATGTTAAAGCATCCTTAAGATTGGGCATGACAAGGAGTTACAGAACGACAAAGCCATCCATGACATCGCATGTGGATGTCGTTGAGCTTATTCATAATAAGTATATTGGGACTATGATCCACATTGTAAGGTAGATCACTGGTATAAAGTACATTTGTAATATATTGAAAACAGTGATGGATTCAAAAAATTACATGAGTGGGGCGAAGATTAAATGACGTTACAAATGTCAATGCCAAAATATCAAACAGTCATAATAGGATTAAAATACGAAATACATTATAAATTACAATAGAATATTTTTGATAGATTACATAATAATTAGGGTTGGAGCCAAAAATATACCTGAGTGGAGTGAAAATGTGAAAATATTTATGACAAAATATGAAACATAATTAATTAGATAAAATAATTTGAAT